TGAGTTAAAAAACCAAATGTTTTACCCAGTGCTTTGAAAGATTTGGTGAATTTGCATGTAAGAATAAATAGGAAAAAATATTGTCCATTAGATATGAATTCAATTTTGGGGAGATGTAGAAGAAGATTTTCCCTTTGAAATGAAATATTCTTCCTCTGCCCTCCACCATTACTACCAAGCTATTTTTTCATTGAAATAGTAAATTACACTTGGTTATTTATTGGTGTCTAAATTAACCTCCAGAAAATGAAGGTATTGAACTTCAAGAATATCTATATTTAACATTTCTAATGTTTTATACATTATACGATAAACTAGTATGTTTTACATTTTATAGTTGCAATAACATCCTAAATTGGCAGCAAAGCACATAGTAGTGATGACATGGTATGTTCAATGTGGCCACATTGAGATTATGTTTTCTGATAACAGTAATTAAATGTTTTTTTGCTCACCACATTTTCTTTGCTATTTTTAAGAGAAAGTACATGTTTTTAATATATGTAATGGTATTGAGAGTGGAATTTAAGTTAAATCGGTTCCTTGTTGCTAGAATAGTTATCATTGTCTTATTTTGAATCTTATGGTTAGTTAAAAGTATGGCTATTTTATAACTTGAAGAGAGATTATTATATTCAGAGAATTATTAGGTTGTAACTTTCAAAATATTCTTCAAGAAAATAGAAATTGTAAGTAAAATTGGCAAAGATAATATCTATGAAGAAACCTAATTCTTAGCCATCATGACAAAAGAAAGAAAGTATGATGCAGAAAAACAATTAACGTTTGTCACTGTCTTATATTAGCCACCCAGTAATTGTTGCTATTTGTTGGTTGTATGACCAACCAAGTTATCAGGGTTTTGCTGGCCTTCATGCTATCTGCATAGTTTGATTCTTTGTTATCCTTTATTTGGATGTACGTAGGCAACTTTCTCAAATAGTACATTATTTTTTGGTGGATTAATTATTATGAGAATATGTAATTTGGAAATAGATTTAGAATTTCATAATGCTCTTCTCTAAATTACTCTTGAAATTCCCACTTAAAAATGTAGGGTTTGATGGGAAGTGATGGCTTACCTGGTCAACCTGGAACACCAGGATCTAAGGTAAATAAAATAAAATTAATAAGAGTGAGAAGTTTGTGAAAAATGACCTCTATGTACATCAGTAAGTTTTAACTATACTGATTTTATTTTGTATGTGGTTTTAATTCTGTGAACAATCAGTTGTAAGAATGAAATCTTAGGCAAAAACTAAGCATATTAAACAAGCTAATGTAATGCAGATCTGGTTTAAATCAGACAAAGTCCAGAATTCCTCAGTACTCAGTCCCCTCCTCCCTTATTGGCGTCTCCGAGTATACTGCAGAGTATGTTCTACAGAGTTCTGTGGGGTGGGTGCCAAACCTACCAATCTCCAGTGTTAGTCATTATGACTGAGGATAACTTTACCAACTTTCAAGTCCTCTTCTTGGTATTTTTATTTAGTGAAATGTATGTGGAATTTTTATTTGCAAAATGCCTTGCAGTGAGTTTCATTAGGCAGTCCCTCCCTTAGGACTGTGGGTAAGAGAGCATGTTATGTTTACTTTAAAACTTAAAAAAAGTAAACTACACTCGACAAATGTATTTAGGATGTCAGGTTATTCTCAAGGTAGAACTGAAACTGTTTGAATAGCATGGTTTGACCGTTTTCTACGTGTATGGGATCCCACACTAAGAGAATTTTTTTTTCTTGTTTTATTAGAGGATCAAATCAAGTACATTATGGATAGACTCAAGAAACTATTCTCAACTACATAATGAGTAGGTTCTAGGACAACCTTCCAAAAGGAAGTGATAGAATCACTGTTTTAAAAGTATTCAATTTTAAGTAGACATTATCCCAGGAGAATAGAGCCGGGCATACAAAATAAGTAGATGACTTAATCTACTATTCATTTATAAGGTACTTAGAGAAATAGATAGGATAAAGGGTCATAGGAGCCCCCAGTGATTAAGGAAAAGTAGCTATCCTTTCACCAGTGGTGGGTCCTTATGAGTCCTTGGAGCACTGGGTGTCCTGGCAGCAGTAAGTGTCTACGGAGATGGTAGACAACTCTTGAGTGACTGGGCCAACCATGTGGAGAGTCTCCATAATTTCTCCAGGTCATTTTGTAAGGAGATAGCCTTATATTCTTTAAATAACTGGGGATACAGTGGACTCTCCCAGGGTTTTCTAGATGCTCTAATAATTAAGAATGCTGCCTAAGATTTCATCAGCTGTTTAAAATTAACCACTTCTCATTTTTGGCCTGACAGTGAACTGGAGGTCAGTTAATTCTTTTAGATTTTCCATAGAACATTCTAGAACAATGTATTTGTGGCGGCCACCACTTGAGTAGATTATGCTGCTATGGCTGGGGAGGCAAGTGGATGTTGCCAGCATCAGAGTTATTTTTTCATGAATTACTATAAAATTTGGTTTCCCTCATCTTATACTTGTACAATTATTTTGTTAAAAATAGATTTAAGATGTTAAAATTGTACCTTTTTAATGCAGTCTTTTCAATGAAACATTTCCACTTCCTTTCATGCAGTATATTAGCTCAGGTGTTGGAATCTTTTTCTGCAAAGGACTAGATGAGTGTGTTTTATTTAGTCTTTGGAGGCCATAGTTTACTTACCTCTATATTAGCTTACCTCTGCCAGTTTTGTCAACTAATATTTATGCTTTCAATATCAATGGTGCAATTTTTAGAGTGGGAGAAAAAAGCTGTATTAAGCAGAAAAGGGATGAGGCTGAAACTCTGTGGTAGATCTTTAAAAAACTTATTATTTAGCTTATACCACCATTTTAAAAATAGCTGCTGAACCATAGATAAGTCTCCCATACCATATTGTATTCCAGTTTTTAAAAATATTACCTAAATGATAAGACATATTAACATAATCAAGTCATGTAACTTTCAACAAAGTCTAGTCACCTCTGAGTTTCAGCTTAATCACTTGTCATATTAGAAATTTTAAGAGACCACTCTTCCATGTTTCAATAATGTTATGTGCCAATGTTTTAATGAAGACCAACTAACATTCACATGTTTCTTAACACAAGCAGCCTAGAAAAATTTCAGAACCTGAAAATGAAGTTGGTCTCCCTAACTTGTTAGTGAAGCCAGCGTGACTTTGGGTAATCATCACCGCCCCACTTCCGGGTGCTATACCTCTCTGTTTAATTATGGACTTTTGCCAGATACGGACTAGGTTGTGATTTCAGGTATCAAAATATATTTGAAAACCAGACCACCTTTGACAGTCTCTCCTTATTACCCAACACATGTAGTCTCTCTTTTTTATATCCAGTTCTCTCTTCTTACCTTACATTCTCTGCTTTGCCAACTTGGTCTTGCTCTCAAAGTTTCTCTCTGTTACAAGCTAAACATTTACTAATTCATACTTCTTCAGAAAAGCCACTCTACATCTGAAGCCAATTTTCTTTCCTTCAATTGCATACTGAAGGTGAGTTTAACTGAGAAATAAAATAGCACAAAGATGAAGATTCTCAACTCATAGGATGCTGTTACAATACATGGCGGAAGAATGTGTAGTAACAAGACCTAACTAATTAGTGCTGGTCTCTGAAGACTTGAATCTCTTCCCTTGCTTGGAGCTGTCAGCTTTAAAACATGCTTTTAGAAAACTTTGTAAATCTGTGGATACGCTTCCTTGTTTAAAAGAATTTTTTCAGTAAGTAGGCTTAATACACCGAGTCTATATGTCAAATAATTGGAAAGTTGAAAATGTAAAAATTATTTTAAATATATTCCCTTAAGAGTATAAAATATATTGCAACTACATTAAAAAAATAATGTAAATGGTTTGATGCATTGACAGGGAAATAAAGGTGAACCTGGACTCCAAGGGACACCTGGGGCTCCTGGGCTCAAGGTAATAATGATTTGATGCATTTGGTAGTATTTTCAAAGAGTTATGAATTCCCCTTGTCATCTGAGATTAATAGTTTTATAACCCTAAAGAGAAAGATACTTGAAATTAGGATAACTTATTTCACAAAATTAAGTTATGCGAAAGGAATTGACTAATGTGGGTTTTCATTTCTGTGTTTTGGATACTATCCTAGTTTGGGTTATAAACATATGAAATATACCTTTGGCTCAATTTTTCTAGACATGGTAAAAGTTGTGTGCTAGTATGAGCATACTCTCTGGTCTGGAGAAGATCACTCTGGTACAGGGCTGGAAACAAGACTGTGTGGCTCCCACAAGTGGTATTATTTGTTTTCAGTGTAGGGACTCATAGCTGCTTTTTTCAGTTTCATCCAAACCAAGTCGTTTATGTTTATTTCTCTGGGATTTTTCAACTCTCTTTCAGGCTATAAAAATCTGGAGTAATATTCAAGAGCTCAGGAGTGGGCACAGTGAGCAAAGAAAACCAAACTTAATTTCTGCAAAGAGAGCACTCTTTAGTTAATGTGATAGTTTTGGACTAATGGTAAAACACAAAATCATGAAGCAAGTTCAAGGTTGCGTCCCATCTCTTACAGAAATTACCTATGTCACTGGCATATCATTGCTATATACTTACAAGAACTTCCTTATTTAATACTTTTAAAAAACCTTTATTTCATAAAAGAAATAATGTCTGTAGTATAATGGAGAGTGGAGAACCTGAGTTAAGCTAACTCATGGAATATTACCTGTACTGAAATAGCTCAAGAATTTGCTTCCAAGAAAATTAATTTCCATATGTATAAAGAAAAAAAGTAATTGTGCATACAATTTAAGTTCAAAGAGGTTTATCCCAATGTTTGTAAATAAAAATATGAAAACTAATATTTAACAATTGAAATTTCAAATAAAAGATAGCAAATCAATACAGTCGAATACTATTCTGTAATTAAAAATAGTATTTTCTAAAATGGCATGTAAGTGGCATATAAAGAACTTCACAATATTAATACATCATGAAGTAAAAGACAAAGTTATGCATACATAGTGAGCACATTTTAGTAACTAAATTATGTGTGTTTGTGGGAGGTAGATTGAAAATATATAGCAAAATAAAAATAGTAGTAAGATTTTCATTGATTTTTATTCTATTTCCTTCCAGTTTTGTAACAATAACTTCTTTAAAGTAGCAATAAAATGAGAATAAGCAATTGCAAGGAGAAACAGAAAGTGTTGGTAAATAAAACAAGAGATACCTGTGTTTATTATCTTCACTACATTATAATTTATTGTTGAAGTTATAAAATGTAAAAATAACAAATATTTATAAAAGTTTTTAAATATGTGCTATCAGAAATTTTTTAACTAGCAAAGAGGAAAAAATAGCAAGTTTTATTGGGACTCCTTTAAACTTTTCATTCTTTACTATTTCTGTAATAGTAACTCTAAATATCAACAAATTTTTTAACCATTAACCTAAAATTTGAGATGTGTGTAGAGATAAAAAGACTGGTGTTTTTCATAAGCAGTAGATCTTGAATCTTTATGTAATTTCTGTGTTACTTAGGGAGAGCAAGGAAGAGTGGGTCCCCCAGGAGAACCAGGATACCTGGGTTTACCTGGAATTCAAGGAAAAATGGTATGCATTGTTTAGGAGCTATTTATTCATTTTTAACCAGCTATTAATGTATAGTTTTCCTTCTGTGAAAGTAGCATTGTAGTACTGATTATACTTTTAATGATAAACTAACCTATATATTTAGTGTATGTATAATGTGTTCAAACCCCTGCTAATAATGGCTGTGGCATCCTTCATGTCCCTCGATGGATTTGGTCTCCTAGATGAAGACCTTAGAAGAAGCATGGAATCAGAAAAAATAAATGTACAATTAAATAATATCCTGTAAGTTCAGATTGTTTTGCAGCCAATCCAGGAGAGTCAACAATTTTTTAGAAGTATTCAGTGTCAGGCCCTCTTAACAAAATAGGAGTGTCACTCTTATCAGAAGTCTGAAAGGATCAAAATTATACCCAGAATGTTTGACCCTGAAGTTCCTATCCATGAGATAATTATATTACATGGAATTTCATTTAAAACTAACCTAAGGAGTTTGAACTACAAATCCTGTTTACTGATACAAACTGTTTTGGTGAGATAAGATAGCAACAGATTCTTCCTCTGTCAAGTAAAGGAGCCCTGAGCTATATAGGTATAAATATTATTATTTGTTTAGAGGTTTTAAGCAATAACTGACTGCCCATTTGTCAAAGTCCATGCCACTGCAAATAGATACATTTCAGGTTAAAAATAAACTGGCTTTGATTCTAGAAATGATACAAAACTCTTACCTGTCTGTCTTCATATCCCTTGCTTTTTAGTTAGTCTACAATTTCACTTTTTTGTTCTTCATGTATTACCTACTTGGTCCCTAGATTATTATACCCAGTATGATTCTTGCCCTAGTCAGCACTTCTGAGATGGGGCGACCCTTGTAGCAGCAATTAAGTTTTAGACTCTTAGGGAATATTAAGAAAATCTGTTGTGAATATATATTTGGACTTAGAGAATTTTCTTGTTCAAAATCTTGCCTTTTAAAAGGAAATCTGTATTTGTTTTTTTCTGTAAACATAAAACTCTACTTTCTGTGCTTAGATAGAATGATGAGATAGAGAGGAAATTTGGGAAGAGTGTTAAAGTTCAACTCTGAACAAGTACTTACCTTTCCTGATCTGTGGGTTCAGTATCTTTAAGAACAATGAGAACATTGAACTAGCTGGTATCTGTTCTTCTAGCTGAGAAATCATAGGAAACGTTTTCCCCAAAAGTTCAATATTGAGGTGTATTTTTTTCTACAGTATCATTTCAGTGTTATCTTTCATTTGTTTCCTGTAAATCTGTGGCTATTCCTAGCTTAACGGAAGATTTTCCGTTTGATTCCATAAAACATTTGTCAATGTAAGTCCTTTCTTCTTTGTTTAATCTCAGGTTGTGATCAATATAGAAAACTTCTCTTCCTGGTAAAATAGAAATTGTAGTAAATTTTCCTTTCAAATGTAAGAACACAAAAAAGCGTTCATCTAGAACATCATTTGACATGATATAATTTTACTCTATTCCCCAAAATTGTGTTAGAGCCAAACTCTATATATAAGGCAATTGTGGGATTTACGTGAGACCATATATTTTTCTTTGCTAAAGTAAACTGTTTATTTGAAAGGATACAGAATATACTAGGTTATGATATATACTAAGCTTCCTTTTTGCAGGGCGACAAAGGAAATCAAGGTGAAAAAGGCATTCAGGTATGTTGCTGCCTTCTTCTTTCACTGGGCAATAAAACCAGGGCTTTGTTCTTTTTAATTCTTGTATTGTTTTTTCCAGCTCCTTCCTGTTTCACCATCAATATCTAATTAATCCCAACTTTTCCCTTTGCTGCTAAACTCCTCAGGCAACATCAAACCTAACTTTAAGCCTCTTCAACATTTTACTATTGTAGAAAACTTGAGAGCCAAGTAATTTAACAAACCAAAGATACGGATTTTGTGTACTTCTAATACCTATTTTTTGTCTATTTATAGTATACATGTTTCTAAAAATGATTTGAAATAGCTTATAGCTTATGACCCAGATAAAGTTGATAAGAAACCATTAACACCAAACATAAGACATATTCAAACTAATAAATGGGAGAAGAATTATACCAGAAAAATTTATCAGGCTCAGGAAATCTAGGGAGGTTAGAAGGACGTTTTGTTTTAGTGCCTTAGCAACAAAAGCAAAGAGAAGACCATGCCACCTCCATGCGAGATAAGAATAGTTTCAATTCAAGTGGCTACTGAACGTGTTGTTTTGCTAACAGCATGGACCTAGAAATATGAAGCCATTAGCTGAATCAATGATATACTTAATCAGGAATAAATGATATCTGTTGGCCTTTCAATCTTCTAGACTTTAGAAATGTAAGACTTTTCCAACTAGAAATTACAATCCATAGTCCAAATAGTTTCTTGATGTTTTAACATTACAAAGCTCAGTTATAGTGGCTGAGTTTTGCCGTGGAGAATAGCTTAATGTACAAAAGAAAAAGACTTTGCAAAATTTCACAGTTTTAAAAGCTCTGGAATTTCTGGAGCATTAAAAGGAATTTCAAATTGAAATAATAATACAGTCAGATCTGCTAGGTTCAGACTCAACAGTTATTTTCACACAATTTTTTACTAAAGATATTTAAGCATTTCTATGATTCCTTTAATTTTGAAATTAGGAGTGAGGTAAATTTTAAGTGTCTGTAAACTCTAAACCCATATGTCCCTCAACATGTCCAAAACAGAACTTGTCATCTTTCCCTAAAAACCATCTTCTACTCATAGATACCTGGTCATAATAATTAAGAGCACCACAAAATCACCTCAGGAGAAGACATCTTGGAAGCCGTCCTTGGACTCAGTCTCTTCCTCTTTATTCACATGCAGTTTCACACCTGAGTGTCTCTTCAACTTGGCCCCTTCTCCCTGTACCCATTGTCTTAGTCATTTGCGGGCAGAGGCCCCAGGTCACCGCAGTACCTTCCTGCTTGTTCCTTGAGTCCCATCTACTCTCTTCCCCATGCTTTTCCGGCATGCAGTAACTAAGCACACATCTCCCAGAGAACCCTTCCATGGTGTCCCATACATACATTCCACGATAAAGTCTGTCCCGTCAAGTGCCTCCTGGTCTGACTGGATCTTGAGTCTCACCTCTTGCCATTCTGCCCACTGTACGCCACTCCTGCCCTGCTGCTTTAGCCAGAGGCAGTCACTTGCCTTCACCCTGTGTCTGTTCTCCTGCGCGCACCCTCCTGTCTTTTCTCCTGTTGGCCACCTTTTCACTCATCAAGGCAGAATTATTTTCCCTACCTTCTCTGTCAAATGCCCCTTCCTATGTTCCAGTAGTATCCAGCCCAGACGTTGAATTGTACATTTTCATCATTCTTGATTTAGTTGCTTATCTTTCTCACCACACAGTAAGGAACTTAAAGGTGACAATGATATCTTTGTTTTGATGTCCCTAAGGGCCAGCCAATAGGTGTCACTCAATAAATACTGGGAATTCACTAAAAAAACTAAACAAATAAATCACTATGCAAATGTGATTTAAATTTTTAGTCACTAGGTGTCTCATTGATTATACTATCTAGCTATATATTTTCCTAGAAACTGCTGATTATCTTGACCAACATAGGGATGAAGTAGTGTTCAGGGTCAGGCAGAATATCATATATGATAGACATCCAAAAGTATTTATTGAATGGGCAAGTGCGTTTAAATCTTGATTAATTTTTTCTGTTTTTATGTGTCTTGATTTAATGATCTTCATTCAAAAACACATTTTATAGTGTTTTTGAATTAAGATATAATTAGCATATAACAATATATACTTTGAGTTGTACAACATTATTCAATGTTTGAAATACACTGTGATATGATCACAAAAAGTATAATTATCACCCATTACCATATATAGTTACAAAATTCTCTTTTTCTTGTGATAGGAACTTTTAAGAATTGCTCTTAGCAACTTTTAAATATACAGCACAATATTCTTAACTATTGTCACCATGATGTACATTACATCCCCATGACTTACTTATTTTATAACTGGAAGTTGTAGCTTTTGACTCCCTTTACCCATTTCACCTGTACCTCATTTACTTTTCTCTGGCAACAACCACCAGTCTGTTCTCTGCGTCTGTGAGCTTGTTTTTTCTGTGTTTTTGTCTTTGGTTTGGTTTGGTATGCCTCTTCGTTTTAGATCCCACATGTAAGTAAAATCATATGGCATTTGTCTTTCTCTGTCTGACTTACTTCACTTAGTATAATGCCCTCAGGGTCTACCCATGTTGTTACAAATGGCAAGATTCTGTTCTTTTTTGTGGCTGACTAGTGTTCCATTTTATAGTTTATTTTTAATTTTTGAAAATTTGTTTAGAGAGGTCTCCTTTTATGTTATTCAGCTATAAAAAGAAAACAAATCCTGCCATTTGCAATAACATGGATAGAGCTAGAGGGTATTACACTCAATGAAATAACCAGGAGGAGAAAGACAAATATCAAATGATTTTGCTCATTTGTGGAGTATAACAACAAAGCAAAACAGAGGGAACAAAACAGCCACAGACTCCCAGAAGGGACTAGCAGTTACCAAAGGAAAGGGATGGGGGAGGGTGGAGCGGAGGGAGGGAGAAGGGGATTGTGGGGCATTATGATTGGCACACAAAATATAGGCAGGTCACAGGGAAGGCAGTATAGCACAGAGAAGACAAGTAGTGACTCTACAGCATCTTACTACGCTGACAGACAGTGACTGCAGTGGGTGGGGAGGACTTGATAACACGGGTGAATGTTGAAACCACAATGTTGCTCGTGTGAAACCTTTATAAGATTGTATATCAATGATACCTTAATTTAAAAAAATTATGATCAAGGCAGTATAAAAATAAATAAAGAGGTCTCCATTTCCTCACATGCATATAGTCAACACTGAACATAATTATGTCATTGACATTAAAAAAATATTTTTTGTCTATGGTCATTGACTTTTTAAATTATTTTCATGTTCATGTGGAGTCAGCACAATATCATCAACTATCTAAAATTATTTACATGTTCCCCAAAAGTCAGTAGTTTGTTCCTTGTCTCTATCCATTTTAACTATAAGATTAAATTGATTCTCCTCTTCTTTTATTCTCTGAGAGACTAACTTCCACATCTCTAACATCATTTTACATATTTGCATCACTGCTTTTGTGACTTTTTTTCCCTAGACTGCAGGATAATGTGGAGTTTGTATTGTGCATGTGATGCCATCACAGGTATGCAAACAAATTAATACTGTTTATTACATTTTAAAGGGTCAAAAGGGAGAAAATGGAAGACAAGGGATTCCAGGGCAACAGGTATCTTTTTTCTTTGATAGAAAATGAAATAATGAATTACATGACTGGACAATGCTGAGAGACGGTTACTTAGAAATAAAAATGGGCGGAAAAAAGGGCCGACATCATGTGCATTCTAAGCATGCAAGGATGAAAATGTTAGGCAGTAGTGGTGGTAACGGGTTGCATTATACTTTTATTTTCCCCTGCTGACACTGTTGGTGGCTATGAACTTGCTTTTCCGTGCTTTTATCTGGCAAGTGAATGACTGAAGGTAGGTAGGTCCACCCATTTCTTAGTTATTTGCCAGAGGCAGCCTTAGAGTTGCAGCATCTCCTGTTTAGTCTTGATTTGCATCTTGGATGTGAGCAGCTGAGGACGTATGGAGTGGAGGAATGCACTTGTTTCCCTCTAGTTTGTTCAGAGAGAGAATTTGCTGTGCTAGAGACTCACTAAAATGCCCTCTTGAGGTGCCGTGTTGTGGAGCTGATGCACAATACGCTTCTTTTGCTCCTTCCCGCCTTAGCTCCCCTCATTAAGCAGGGTTGCAGTGAGAGTGCCACGTGGCACGTAAGGTCAGTCAGAGCCAAACGGGACCAAAAAAGAAGAGCATTAAAGTGATGACTTACTTACATAGCATGTTTGCTGTCACACCGGCTGCACTTGAACTCACTTCCAACTTGGCCTACACCAGAAAGGCAAGCTGTACAAGTGAGTCCTCCCAGGAGTTCAATCTCTTGAGTGTGGGTGAGAGAAGGATTCAGGAATTACACCAGTTCTGGAGATACAGGGATAAAACTGTGTAATGATGTCCTCAAGGACAGGGTGTCTGTGTCCCTTAGCTCACCTGCAGAAATCTGAGAGGTCCCAGAGGAGAGTGTTTGGAAACAGATGGCTGAAAGGTTGTCTGTGATGTAAGGTGGAAGGTGAGCTCTAGATATTAAGAAGAGTTGAGGGTTTAGAAGCTGACGAGAACAGAACTAACTGAGAGGGGAAATGGACTGAGTTTGCATGTGTACAGTTACATCCAATCAAAGCATGTCTTTTAATTTAGCGCTGCTGCAAACCCACTTGATGACACACCCTTCGCTGCCCCAATTCCCACCCTGGCAGCACCAACCCCCTCAGATTCCCATTGTCACACAATATCTGGAAACAGCTTTCTCCACCATCTCCCTCCACCTTCACCCCTTCATCCGTCCAACCTCCTTAACCCAAGCCTTTCACCAAAAACTGTTACTAATAATACTACTCTGAGAAGAAAGAGGTTTCCTTTGGGATTTGAGCTCACAGCCTAGCTGGCTCACTGGCTTACACAGGGCGCTCTTTCCAGGGTTCCCATAACTCATTCTTACTCCATTCTCAAGGAACAGTCAAGTCTTCTCCCTGCCCCAAGGCAGGATCTGGGTTAGACTTGTTGGAAACAGCATCTCCAACCACCAGAAGCTGAGCTTATTAGGGGTATGGTCATCCCACGCTCTTCAAGTAAACAAAGTCTTAGTCATCTGTTGTCCTACCAAGTGCTGCACGCGTGTTACGTCTACCTGATTGTTGTTCTCAGGAGATCATCTTAGCGTATATTCAGATGATAGCTGTTTTCAGTTTCAGCTCCAGTAATTCTAGTCCTGAGAAGTTCCTATTTCACCTTTCCTGTTGCACTGGCTCTAGTTATAGGATTATGTCTGGTAGGGAACCCCCCAGCATGTCTTCAGAACCTCAATATTTAAAGAATGGCCTTACAGAGAGTGTTTTACTCACTGATCAGTTTTTACATGAAAACTGAGTTAGGGGTTTTATGTTCACATTTTAATTTGAGAATCTATCTTTCTTTACCATGCATTGATTTTACCTAATTTTTCTTTCCTTTTGTCTAATTTTTATGTCCATGTTTATGGAACCTAGAAATAAATCAAATATTTAAACTCAAAATTATTTTGTGAAATGTTATACACTAAATTTTATATGAATTGCCGGACATGAATTTTTAATGTTCAAGTTGAATAATGAAATCCTACCTCTGTGTATGAAAGCCAGACCAATTTTTCCTGAGCTGGTATTGGGTGATTTTAGAGCCTGAGTGTACAATGAATTTCAAAAATGGAAAATTTAACGTCTTTCCTGAAAGTTCTTATCACCTATAATATGCCATTGGAATGAATATGTGGAAGACATGGGTGGGAAATAATTTAATAGTCTTCCAGAGGTAACCAGTGATTATAATGAGTAAGTTACATGCATGGATTCCTCAGGGTTTGTATCACTGGGGGAAAATACCACATTGTACCTCACATTGCTTCTCTAATCTGGTTCCCAGCAGTGAGTGGTTTAGGCGTAGGACGAATGAGTATTAAAAGTGCTCTGTTAATCATTTTTAATGGTAATTTACATTAGCTCATTTTGTGTCAATAATAATCAAAATTTAATTTTAAGAACACAAACTTGGAAAAACAGAATATTCATTTTATCACAAAGTAAAAGAATAAACATACCTTAACTGATTTGAGTTTTAATTTTCATTAAAATTGTAATAGTTTAAAAATTCAGGATTGAATTTAAAGAGAATTCAGGTAGAATCCCATTCTAACCTACATATATGACCTGTAACATGTAAAAACATTAATATCTAAGAATGAAAGTCATCTAAATTAGAATTTTTAAATAATCAAATTAGCATATTATCTAGTCATTCATTTCCTTTAAAAGACAAAAAAGACCTTTTATATATGTAATTTTATCACTAATTCTATCAATTATTTTCTGAACCAAAAATTAAAGTTTGGTTAAGTATATGATAAAAGGTGCATACCACAATACTAGGACTATAGCTTGCACATTTATCATCTTTTTTTTTTTATTAATTTCAAAGGGAATTCAAGGCCATCATGGTGCACCAGGAGAGGTATGTTTATGTATTGTGCTGCTCTGTTTGGTCTTTATTGTTTGGATTTCAAATACTGTGTAAATCTAGCTATTGACATCAGACACAGAAAATGTCTTCCATGTTCATCAGTAGTCTTGAATAGTGATTTTCAGAATATATATTCATGGAATTAGGTATGAAATGTTGTGTATTTGCCTGTATTATTGGTTCTTCTTCTGGATTAAGAGCTAAATTTTTCTGCATATTTTGCAGTGAAGAATGTTATGTTTTCGTATTTGTCTCTCTAGAATTTAAACTCCTTGGGAACAGACTGTGTGGCGTTCCTCCTATCTGTGGCTCTCTACATACTGCCTACATAATATGCTCAGGAGATTGAGTGGATATTTATCGGGTTGAGTGGATGGGTGGCTGGATGAATGGATAAACGATAGTTTCACATGATATGAAACTTCCCTCGTGATCAATAACAGTGTTTCCCAGTTGTTTCCTATATAGCTTGTGTGTGTGTCCATGTGCGTGTGTATTCATCCATATTCTTAAGGACTTTTATGATGCAGTTGTAGTTTCTGAAATATTTAAATAAAAATTTTGAAGATTCCTTTTGGTTTTAGAGAGGTGAAAAGGGAGATCCTGGTGTCAGAGGTGCCATCGGACCGAAAGGAGAATCTGGGGTGGATGGGCTGATGGGGCCTGTGGGTCCTCAGGGGCCACCTGGGGAAACGGGGCCTCAGGGACTGCCAGGACTGGACGGGAAACCTGTATGTATTCTGCTTCTTTCATAGTTTTCATATTTGCATGTCTTTTTACTCGATATGTACATCTTATAACCCCTAATTATTTAATGCAGGGGAGAGAATTTTCAGAACAGTTTATTCGACAAGTTTGCACTGATGTATTAAGAGGTAAGTCTCAAACAGATTTCTAGTAACATTTTTCTAATTACAAAAGTAATGCAAATACTTGGGAAAAATTGTAAAAGATGTAAGGAAGATAAGAAAATGAAGGACATTTATAAATTCTGTTTTATAATAGGTATTTTTATAAAAATAAAATATAGGCACCCTTTTGTAATCTTTTATACAAAATTTATTATTTCACCATTCAGTAAATTTTTTTCCTGACATAATTCTGATCATTTAATCAATGAATATGGATGTCTATAATTTAATTTACCAATTTATTTTATGGGGAGCAATTTCACTTTTCCCACTATTTTAAGCAATTGTTACAGTGAAGTTATTATACAGAGCAATGACTATTTCTATAGTTAAATTCCTAGAAGTGAAATTATTGGCCAAGGTCTGGAAAGTTTTACAAACCATTGGAGCTAATGCCCATGCACCATTTAATCCAAAGGGTGTGGGCTTTCTTTGTTTTTAAGACCAGTTACCAGTCTTACTTCAGAGTGGAAGAATTCAAAACTGTGATCATTGCCAGTCCCAACACGGTTCCCCTGGAATTCCTGGGCCACCCGGTCCCATGGGCCCCGAAGGTCCCCGAGGATTTCCTGGTTTGCCAGGAAGAGATGGTGTTCCTGGATTAATGGGTGCTCCCGGACGCCCAGGTGTCAAAGGATTAAAAGGTAAATAATTTGTGTGCACAAGCAGATGAACAACAAAAAAGTATTTTTGGTACTTATACCCTAAATTGATTTAATAGGCAAGAGTTCATCTTTGTTTTTATGTTGACAAAAGATTTTTATATCCCTAAATCTTTAATTTGTCAACTGAGTTAAAGAGCAGTTACTCTAGTTTCTGGAAGTAATATTCTAAAGTAGAGACAGAAAGGTTAAAGTTATGAAGCATATGAAATTACACATTTAAAAATGTTGACAATGCATTTAGAAAATTTTACTGAGTATAAGGTCTTTCAGTAGAAAATCACAGATACTATTTCCTTTATTTTGGTTTTGGTAACTCCTGTTACCTTATTCAAAAGAATTTTTTTCTATTATAGGAAGAGTTATGTCTTGCGACCAAACTTCCTAATAGCCTACAACTTTGCCTTTGAATGTTTATGTGAAATGTTGGTTGATAATTCTTCCCTTTTTATTTAATGGTATATGAACAATTTCGGTGTTTCATCAAAGTAATAAAAGAACAGCTATGATGAACAGGAAAAGCTAATAATCCCAAACTACTCTCCTTTCTTAATATTTAATCCCCATTCAATCTTTCTAGATCACTGATAATTTTATAAATTTTTGCTTCAAAAATTCTGTTCTGTGCTACAAAAAGGTGGTAAGCTATTTTTAAGAGATTTTTTTTCTTTCAACGTGTGTAATAATAGCTTTGAAAGAAACAATCCAGGAGGAAGTTGTTTTATAGGAAAAGTAAGCTTTCCCATCTTTGACCCTCTGCAGGCCTACCAGGAAGAAACGGGGCAAAGGGGAGCCAGGGGCCCGGGTACCGTGGAGAGCAAGGTCCTCCTGGTCCCCCAGGTGAGAGCTGATAGATGCTCATCCGTATTGCCGCGCATTTTACTCAAAGAAAAACATCATAAATCTGTGTCAAAATATTTGAAATGAAGATGTTTGTTTCATTTTTTTGAGTGATTCCCATTTAACACAATGAGCTTTAACTACAGTTGACCCTTAAATAACACGGGTTTGAACTACTCACATGGGGATCTTTTTCAAAAGATATATTAGAAAACCTTTTGGATTTGTAACAATTTGAAAAAACATTTTCTTTTCTCTAGTTTACTTTTTCTCCCTCTTTGGTAAGACTACACCATATGTTACATATAACATACAAAATGTGTGTGAACTGTTGGCAGTACTGGTAGGACTTCTGGTCAACAGCAGGTTATTAGTAGTTAAATTTTTAGGAAGTCAGAAGTTATACGTGGATTTTCATTGTGTGAGATGTCAGCACCCCTAGTTCCTACTTGGTTCAAGGGTCAACTATACTGGAATTCTTTTCCTATGTTACATTCATAAATCCTTCAGGATTCTCTTTTACTTATCATTTTTCCTTAGAACACAATCCTTAAAATAGTTTTTGAATGGTTTTAGTTACCCCTGCTTATCTAGCATGTATCATAATTTGATTGTTATGATTCTCAGGGAAGCCAACAGTTCTGAAAAGGACTCTTAAGTCAAACTCTGCGAGCTGTCATTTAACTTGGCTACGCCTCATTTGTAAAATGCTGACAAGATGTTATCTGCATCATGACATTACCAGAAGATTAAATGAGTGAATACATGCAGTACTTTTGAACCATGCATCACACTCATAGTTACATTTTCCATGAATGTGTACTATTATTATTATTTTAAAGGTTATTACTTCATGAAGCTTTTGGGTGGATTAAATGATTTAATGCTGTTTATGTAAGACACTTAGAATTATACCTACAATTGTAGCTAAATGTTAACTAAATATTCAGTAGTAATAGGGGAAGCAGAAAGTGTTACCAGTAGGAAGTGCCCCAAACACTGTGCTCCGCCCCCAAACCTGAATATTTCATTTTTGTTATTTTGAGTCATCAACTTTAAAATGCCAATATCCTGTTACTCTCCTATCTTTGAGCATGCTAATTGAACAAATTAGGCTATGATTAACAAATTAGTGCTAAAACACCTTGGGTATTGATCAGTATTAAACTGCAATAATGACAGTGTGTTTAGATGTGAAAACTAAAAAATATGTCTAACGAATAGTCATTTTTACGACGAACATGGCATGTATGTGACTTTTTTACAGTTTTAGCTTACTGATATATCACTTATTTATAATAATATTGGCAAAAGATATAGTTAAAAAAAGAAATAAGTTTTGGTAACTACAAATTAAAATATTTGAACACTAGCTCAATGTCTCAATCAGCAGCATGCATGTTATATTAATATAACTTAGCCTCATTTTGCAAAAATTACCGATTGCTTTTGGATCAGTTCTCAAACTGCAAGGCCTGTGAATTAGCAAGAGAAGACCCCCTCTTTTGACATTAATGCAAATATATAAAATTTTCAAGAGCACTTTTTTTTTTTCAGTTTAAGTGTTTTACAGAGTCAGCTGTATCACCCACAATCAGAAACCAAATTGCTCTGTTCACATATTGCTAATGTCCCATCTTAGGTCCAGAGGGCCCTCCGGGGATAAGCAAAGAAGGTCCTCCAGGAGACCCAGGTCTCCCCGGCAAAGATGGAGATCACGGAAAGCCTGGAATCCAAGGACAGCCAGGCTCCCCTGGCATCTGTGATCCATCCCTGTGTTTTAGTGTAATTGTCGGGAGAGATCCATTTAGAAAAGGACCGAACTATTAGTGTCTGATGCCTCATTCAGCAGTGCTGGCGTGGTGCTTTTCTCCTGCGGTCTCACAGTCTTATCATCTCAGGAAGATAACAGCAATAATCCTTTGAAAAGAAACTAAAGTACCTCGGTGTTTTTTATTTTTCCTTACAGAAAAATATATAAAAGGTCACATATACTGATTTTAAAGGCTCCTCGGTCATTCAGAGCCTTTAGATTGGTAGCATTAACTAAATCTCAAGGGTTCCTTATACGTCAATTCATTTTAATCAACGTTGAATATAAAACCACCATTGCCTGTTAGTCAGTTTCAGTCACTGTGAAATCTTTCACATCCAGCCTCCATGCAGCAGAGTATTTGAGTTTAATTTCATGTCTGTGTGAAGTTCATGTTTCATATCTCATTGCACGTTCTTCTACATTCCCCCAAACATGTATCTGGTCATTGGAAATAAGATCATGGCTGATACTCGAGTGGCAGAGACCAGTCATTTGCTCCAGTGTCCGTGACTATTGGATAAGGACAGTGGATGGCTGGTTGTTCACTCTTTCGAATATCACGTCTGAATGAAATTATTGTGTTTCTTGTTACATTTGCAAATCCTCACATTTGATTAATAATTATTGCTAAGAAAGCAAATAGATTACACTGGGAACAGTCAAAATTATGTAACGGTAGAAACATTTTAGAAAAAAGTTTCATTGTGTCTGGTCAATATGCTCAAAGGAAATGCAAGCTCAGAAATACTAAAAAGACTTTATTTTTCATACTGCCTTGTTTGTTGCATGACATCATTTTCCATCTCACTTATTATATGTGTATGTTCATGTATGTTAACTTTCACTGTAACAAAGCTAATGGGAATAAATGCTCTAGTGGAAAGGTAACTCCACAGATGCTACTAAGTTTTGATATTTTTTAGCAGACTTTAAAATATTACAAAGTCTTTGTGTACTGTATTTAACACTTTTATAAGGAATATGATTTGAGATATTTCATCCTTATGCTCTAAATTTTGTTACGTGCTTGTTAGTCAAAGTGCAATAAAGTTTTGTACAGGCCTGATTGTAGTGTCTTTTTTTATACTTAATTAACTGGTTATTGTGTATATGATCCATATCACATGGTCATATATTTAATGGATGTAATTTATTAAATTATTTATCCTCTTCTTAAATAACTGGTTCATAGGAAATGAGAACTTAGATATTCAGTAGGTGTGCTAACTCACCTAAATAAGTTCCTGGCCAAGGAGTGGCTGTTGAACAAAACTGAGCCTCACTGATGTGTCATTGTATCACTTTGATGAGGACCTTCAGGGAGAGCAAAGTGCATGATATTTCTTAGCTGAATTTGCATTAAGCTTGTTTTGGTGTTCTGTCTCCTGCAAAGTCCCAGGTATCTGCTAAGGCCTAACCATCCTACTATCCCTGGTAATTTTGGCATTTGTGGTTAAAATCTGGTAAAGGAGCAGAACAGGGCAGTTGGTATTGTTTCTTTATTCATTCAACCAGCATTGCCTATGTGACCATGCAGTGCCAGATACTGTGCCGGGGATGCAATGGCTCTATAGTCACATTGTCTGACTTGAAGGAACTCACGTCTAATGAGCAGGTGAGTCCAATACATCAATTCTCAGAAGGGAGAAAGTGCTATAGAAATGTATAGGATGATGCTATGGATTCAATTGTGTCCCGCCCAGACTGGTCTGTTGAAGCCCTACCCCCTATGTGCGTGTATTTGGAGACAGGGCTTTTAGGTGGTAATTAAGGTTTAATGAGGTTATAAGGATAGATTGGTGGCTTTATAAGAAAAGGAAGAGGGAAATTCTCTCTCTCTCTCTCTCTCTCTCTCCCCTCATGCATGTAGGAAAGGCCTGTGATGGCATAAAGATAAGGAGATTGTCAACAAGCCAGGAAGGTAGCCCACCCTGATCTTGGACTTTTGGCCTTGAGAATGGTGAGAAAATTAATTTCTGTTGTTTAAGTTACCCCTTCTATGGAATTTTCTTATGGCAGCCTGAGCTGTAAGGCAGATAAGAGTAGGGAAACTTCCCTGAAACAAAGATTATAAACTGAAATTTGAAAGGCTACAAACCATTGGCATAACCAAGTCATGTCAAGACAATGAAAATGAGCAAAGGTTGGGGATTAGAAAAATCACAGAGCATTCTGAGAACAACAAAACCTCTGAAATGAAAAAACATCTTCACTTTCAGCCTCCTGCTTTTAAAATTAGCATCTCAAGATGAAATGTTTCTTTAGTTTATCATGGCATATGTTATTCCTAACATTTTTGCCTTGGACAATTCGAGATGAATCTCTAAAATGTTGACTTTTGAGAATGAAAAGGTGAACAATTTTGTCCTACAAGTTGCCTAGTGACGCATTAGCGCCATGTTACATGGAAGGCCTTTAGTGTGGCCTCTGTCCTGAGGTTGCCTTGGTTCAAATCCCCACTTTCTTTTTCTTGTATGAATTCAGAAACTTTATTTACCTCTTTGTGCCTAAATTTCTACATATGTTGAATGGGGACTATTAATAGTTCTTACCTCATTGTAAGGACTAGGATTGTGAAGAGTAAATGAGATGAAACAAAAAGATTAATCTATGGAGTCAGATAATTTACCAGTGCCGCACAGAAAAAGGTGGGATTAGCATATCCTGAGATGAAACATTTAAAAAACGTATTCAGGACATTTTATGACTAATTACTGATAAAGTTAATCTGCTCCACTGACATTCAGAGTGAAACTCTCAGTCGTAAAGGTAAAAATAATTCTCAGTAAAGGCTGACTTTGCTAGATTTTGATCATCTTGGTCTAAAATGTATAGTAAGAACAATTTAGGGAAAAGAATCAACAAACAGTTTATACTCTCGGGGTATTTCATCTCTATTTTATTATCTGTGTTTTTTTTAATTGTATATAATCTTGTTTCTTTGAACTTTATCAGCTAATTATCTCATTTCCATGATGAAGAGGTCTGCAATTGAGATGGGGTTGCACATGATTCATTAATCTCCAGTAGAGGGCAGCAAAATACGTGTGTGTGTGTGTGTGTGTGTGTGTGTGTGTGTGTGTGTGTGTGTGTGTGTGTGTGTACATATATACACACACACGAAGAAACAAATGACAACCTTTTCTCATTATACTAGTCATATAAACTATCACTATATACATTTAACCTAAACATGTTCTCAATTTTTTAAGTATGGTTAGATGTATGTCCTTAGAAATTGTTTCAGAGAAGAAAAATCAACACTTTCCTAAGTTATAGACATAAACTAATGAAGCCATTTATATTTTGATGTTTTGCCTGTCTATCTGCTTTACCTTTGTAAGATTCAGTTTATCCAATGAAACAGCTCCAACTAGGAGATTTGATTATTTCTCCGTATTGAAACTTTATTGTCAAAGGAGAGGTTCGAAGCTCACTCCTGGAATGCCTCAGTTACAGAGCTGACTGCGGGCTGGTACCTTAGCTCTGTTATGCCTGGGCGTTGCAGAAAGCTGTCCTTATCATTATGTAGAGTTTACAGTGAAAAGTCCTATAACCTAGTACATACAGTGCACTGTGTGAAATGTCAACACAAAAGATCAGCAGCTCTGAGGTGAAACCATTGAGAGCGTGATCTTCGAGGAGGTGGGGCATGATAGGGAATGCATAGGGAAACCCAAATTAGAAATCTATAATTTTGAGGGAAAAGACTGAAATAAGCCCATACTTTAGTTAAAATGAGCTGCAAATGTTTCTCTGGTAGATCTTAACAAAACTGTCTTAAAAGATATATAGAAAAATATTATTTTGCCCCCAAATAACATCTGTAGTAAGGAACTGTTCCTACTCACTAAATTATTTCTGGGTTCTGCCTTCCCCACTATAGATTTTCACAGAGGATATTGAACAAATAATTTCAAAAGTCCCATACTGATATCTTAGATGAAAATAACCATTTGGAATTGCTGACGGGAGTATCATTCTGAATGAGGAACTGAGAAAGTGTTTTCCCACTGTCTTCAGTTCAGTTGCCATTTCAAAATACTGTTTAAAAACTCCAACTTGAAAAGTTGTCTATAGTTCTCACAGAGTGAATTTTAAAATAATTTTGACAACAAAAAGCAAAGAGAGTCCTATACATGTGACTTTGGATGAATCTGATACTTTTCCTGAATTTGTTTTCTTATCTGTAAAACAAAAGGTTTAAGTTACTGTGTTTTACAACCCTGGCTATACATTAGATCACCTAGGGAGCTTTTAAAAAAATTCCCTGGCTTGGGCTCCACCAGAGATTCTGGTGTAATTGCTTTGTCTTCCAGGCAGAGGAAATAGCTGTACCAAGGCCTGGAGTCGGAGAACACAGTTCAGAGAAAGTGGAATTTATTGTGTATTTTAGGTTTTGCAAAGCTGGTGGTAGAAGGTGGCAAAAGATAAGAGTAGAGATAGTGGGAGGGGGAAGAGGGATGGAGAAGGAAAGGGAAGCTTTCAAGGAATATTATAGGATTTTAAGGAGGAAATAGCATGAATAGATTTACACTGCAGAGAGATCACTCTGGCTGCAGTGTGAATAGATGAAACGAGGCAAAACTGGAAGTGGAGCGGCTCATTAAATGCCATTACAGTGGCACTGAGGATAAAGAGGGAGATAAGGGCAAGGCAGAGGCAGAGGGCGTAGGGAAGTAAGAGACTATTGTTACTGGGGAGGAAGAGTTTTCCTCTTACCTTTAAGGTTCTTCTAGTTGGTCTAAGAATCAAATTGACATGAGACAGCGTAACAAGAGAAAAATCAAAGCTAAATTACATCCACATGAAGCATCCACAGACTCATAAGATTCCAAAGAAAGGGAAAATGAGGCATGTATGTCATTCTGAACTAGGAAGAAGGGAGTAGGGGTCTGGGACTTCAAAGGAAAAGAAGCAATTCAAAGGAATATGAAAGAGTAAATGTTGGGTAAACAAATATTTGCTGGGCCACACAGAAACAGTGGCTCATAGAGTAAAATTTTAATAAACAAGATTTGGCTAAATTCCTCCTTTTCTGCTATATGTGCTTATGTTTGGTGATAGTTCTCTTCCAGGAGCAGGTCCTTTATCTACATTCTTTTATGCAGTTAGGGGGAAGGTCAAAGTTTCTTTCTGAGTCTTTTGAGCCTTGATTGTTTTCTGCTCAGAATAATCCATATGCTAAAATGATACATCTTGGTGAGGCCTGTCGTTTCCCCTTATACCAACAATTTATTAGTTCTGCTTAACTCATGGGTAGCTTCCCGTATGTACCCCCAGCATCCTCTGACTCCAGGAAGGTCAGGGCTACTGTTACAGTGTGAGATGAGGTATAAACTGAACTCCTCTGGCTTCCACCTGGTGCACATGGGATGAGTTTGCTGGCTAGGCTCAGGGCTGCACCTTCTAGAGGCCTCTCCTGAAAGTCTTGGCAGGTTCAGAGTGAGAACTGGAGTGTGAACAGAAAGGCTTCATTTGCTGCCAGCCTGACTCCTGATGCTAGCCCAGATAGAGATCAGAGTCCTCCCCGCTCAGGTCTTATTCACACCAGTCTTTTACTGATATCAACAGTGAGATGTATCTGTTTTTCTTTCTCTCTGATGCCTATGGATTCAAGAGAATATTATTTTACTAATGCTGAGATTCATAAGGAACACCTGATGGTATAAATGCACTGGCATTTATCCCCTGCACAGTAAGAATATGATGGGTAAGCTTTATTTTTATGACATGGGGTCGTGTATTGATTTGATGCAATTTCAAACCCACTTGTTGAAAATATATATTTTAGAACTTGTTTTGATATAAGAATGAAGTAAATCGTGTCAGTGAGATGGAGCAGGGAAATGGGACAAGGGTCAGACTTGTAAAATCTACTTAACCTGTGAAAAAGGACCAGCTTATTCTTTACTCTATATGCTGTTCTTCTTCTGCCAGTCCCTTAATCAATTAAGTAACTAAGTAACTAGGATGAGAGAAGACCTCCAAAGTGAAAACACACCTACCTGGGTAAAGAATGTGAAGATATGGATCAACATATTCTTAAAACAAAACTTCAAAGGA